ATGAACAAGGGCTTACTTACTTTCCATATAATCCTTAATGTGTGGAAATCTAAACCTGCAAGGATTTATTTTAATTTCCTCCAAAAAGTTGCTCCTGGCAGAATCTGATAAAGCTGGTTTTAGTCTAATTCTTCCCAGCCCCCGGCCCTGCCCTTGGTGAGCTATCAGAGCATACCTATCTTTGGGAATTCGTTTGGTGATCACCACAGCTTGCATTCATTATCTCAAATACCTCCCAGATCGTCGGCTGATGCACGGAAAAGTGATCTGACAGCATTTTCTGAAGCGTTTCACGTTGCGGGGTGGGGGGGAAGAGTGTCCCCAGGTTCTTGCTGTTGTTTTGCTTTCCTGTCCCATGTCAAGCAGCTCTTTAGTGCACAAAGTTAACAAGAAATGGAGCTGCTGTTTCTTCTTGAGTGTTCTTTGCTGCCTCTTCGTTTTCATCAGGATTTGTTCATTTGTGCCCAGGGCTTTGAGTCCTTTTGCTGCCAGCCTGGCCTTGCTCCCAGCATAAGCTCCCTGTGCAGAAGAGAAGGTCGTGGTCTCCCACAGCAGGCTCAGAACCTGGGCACAACCAGACAGACATTTTGTACAAGTTTTTAAGAGCTTTTGGGGTACATATTCTGTTTTTAACCCTGCTACCAGCCCAGTGAATCAAGTAGCAGCCTTTCTATTTAGAGAAGTCTTAATGAATGAGACATACCCTCATTGTCCAAAATATCAGAAAGATGACCTTATTGCAGCCTTCCATTACCTAAATGGGCCAACAAGAAATGGAGAGGGGCTTTTTCTGAGGACACGTAGTGATTGGACAAGAAGGAATGGATTTAAACTGAAAGAGAGTGGGTTTAGATTAGATATTAGGCAGAAGCTCTTCCCTGTGAGGGTGCTGAGGCACTGGCACAGGGTGCCCAGAGAAGCTGTGGCTGCCCCATCCCTGGCAGTGTTCAAGGCCAGGTTGAACTGGGCTTGGAGCAACCTGCTCTAGTGGAAGGTGTCCCTGCCTGTGGCAGGGGGCTGGAAATGGATGAGCTTTAAGGTCCCTTCCAACCCAGACCACGCTGAGATTCTGTGATCAGAATAGGAAATGCAGCAAGGGTTAGTTTACAGCAATTTTGCACATACTTGGTAGAACAGAATGATCTTCCTCATTGCTGAACTCTGAAACAGAAAACAAATTTCTTGTGGAAACACAAACATAAGCTTGCTGCTGCGCTGGAGCAGAGTGATGCATTGCAGGAGATATTTAGCATCATGTTCTGACCTTTTTGGAAAGAGTTGATATGGAAATGTTTTTGTCATATTTATTTAAGCTTTTTTCTTGACTTTATTTATACTAGACAGTATATTTGTTTCAATGATTCAGCAGTATGCCAGTCCCCAGTCCTTGGCATATTAACAAAACTAATCATGTAATAAACATAGCCCCCTTAAATCTGTGCTCTAATGCTCTTAGGAAAGTCCTTTTGTTCTTGTTCTCCATGTAAAGCACCAGGTGTGACTGTGATGAGTTGAGGAGATAATGAAGATAATAACAAGAGGAAGGTTTAGTAGAGTCTTTAGTGTAATGGCTATAGCTGATTTTTTGAAATAGTATTTCTCTACTATTTTATGTACCACAGTCAAATTGTTTCTTGTGTTTTTTTTCCTTAAGAAACAACACAATGTGTTGTTTTCGCACCATTCTCCATGCCTGGCCACCCTCCCAGGTTCACCAAGGGGTGCTATTTGCTGTGCCTCAGTCACAGGCAGGAAACAGTATTTCAGAGCAACGTTTTCCCCCCACTTGAGTGGAGGCAGAGGGCGGGTTGACCATGGGCAACAACAGATCCTGGACTCTATAGAAAGCTGAGTTAATGGAAAAAGTCAATACAGTACCTTGGCTACACCTCCAGGGCTGCATCCACAGGTGATGAAAACCAGTAGAAGTATTTCTGTTGACTGCAAAGAGCCTTGAATAAGACTCCTGTTCCACAGAGTGCAGCCTGTCCATCCCCAGTACTTGGAGGTATTTTCTGTGGGAGATAGCAAAGAAATAAAGAAAAGGAGAAGTATGAAAGGAGCAGGTTTGTCTGTGCTACTCAAATCTTGTAAAGAAGGCAGGGTCAAAGCTTACCTCGCTATGGCAGTCTTATTGATAGATATCAAAAGTGATGAGAAGTCCTGATAATGAAATGTAAAGTTTCTCCAGGGTCCAAAATAAATGATGGGGCTGATGGCAGTGGCTTCCCTAAGTCACATGGCATTGAGATGAAGCCCATTATTAAATTGTTTTCTGCATGTAGCTCACATATGCTTAAAATCTATGTGCCAAATTAAAGTTGGAAATACCTTAGATGAATTAGAAGGCAATTATGAAGTAGTCTCTTTGCAAAGGAATTTTCAGTGTCTGATACTTGGCTACATTGGATTATTCCGTCTCTCTTTTCTGTCAGTGCAAATAAGATCATAACTCACATGTGCATGAAAGCAAATGGGTGATCTAGATCTAAAAATGCACACTGCCTAACTTTGATTTATACTGAAGACAGACACAGGAATTATTAATTCCAGCATCCTGGGAATTACATTTAAGTATTAACAAAATTAGGCAAATTAGGCTTCAGCCTCTGAGTGCACCAAGGTATCTATGCAGTCTTCTTGTTTGATCCTGAGATAAATGTTAGAATCAGGCACCATACTAAAGTTAAGCAATTTGTAGATGTGGGATAATGACTTTGGAAATGACTGGCACTGTATTATTTGTGAGATCAAATATTTATCAACCAACTTCAGGTCCCCAGAAATATGCTTGCCTTGGTGCACAGTGTGGTTATTCTTCCTTTAGAATAAGTATTATTATAAGGATTGAGAGTAAGTATATTACTCTTTTAGAATAAGTAGAGGATCCAATACATTTTTTAAACTAGAGAAAAGATGCATTAGGCTGTACCTGCCTGGGATATGTGGGGCAAGAGAGAGTCCTGATCAAGTCTGTAAGTTTACTGTTTAGCTTTGGCTGTCACAGTAAAATGCCATCAACCTGCATGGAAAGCACTTACTGAGGAGCACTTGAATTATTGCTTAAGTATCAGTGCTGCTGCTTAGTCCAAAGATAGTAAATGGATAAAAGCATTAGAAGTTTACAACTGGGTTTGGTAGGATTTGACATTTCCTTCTTATTGCTGACGTTCATTGCCTGGGGAGAGATGTAGAAGGAGTGAAAAAATGAACTTCTGATGAAATTTGAAGGCTTATAAAAATAGGATAACATTAACTCAATCTTTTTTCTGTTGATGCTAAAGAAAAAAAGTGAAGTTTGTGAATCTGGGTAACTTGTGAGAAAGTCTTACTTTAGAACAAGGGACAGCATTTCCTCTGTTTCTCAGTGCAAGGTTGAATGTTGTTCTTTGGGGGGTTTTTTGCCTATCTTGAAATTGGAACTGGGCTCAGGAAAACTCAGAGGTGGCCATCCGTGCCCCAGGCTGGGCTGGCTTCCCCACCTCTCTAATGGTGGAGGAGCAGCATTACTGGCCCTTAAACCCTTATTGATCATAAGGGAGGTGGGCTGGCTACCTTTTGTCAAGCTGTAACACCTTGTAGCATAAAAACAGCCCTTTCAGGACGTTACTTATACAAGATTTTAAGCAGCAATGTCTGGTCTGATGAGTTACATCCATTTCTCTCCACATTGCTCTGAACTTTTTCATTTTGGAGCAAGTTACTGCTCTCTCACTGATTCTTTGTGGGCTGAATGAGTTGGAAGTATGGCTGTAATTTAAAGTAATCACAGCTGTCAATGCATATGCCAGTTTCTGTTCTAACAGATCTTCCAGATCTGTTACATATATAAATTGTCGGATTTTAAGTTTAAACATATTCATAGGCTGGGAAGAACTTGGGCTGTAATTTATTTCTTAGGAAATATACTGATGGAGTGCCTCCAAAATGAAGGTAGAAGCCTCATCTCTGAATGTTTGCTCTGTTCTGTAAAGAAATCAGAACATTTTATGTTGAGAGGTGGTTGAAATAGCATGTTTGTGCTCAAGGATTAAACCAGGGTGCTTATGACGTAGCATGTAATGAAGAAATTGAAGCTGAGTCTCTAGGTGCATCATGCTGAGTAAGAGGCTTGTTCTACATGGAACTGTCATATTAAATTCTTGTTGTGATTGCAGACCCCTTTGATTCCTAAATCTTTTGGAGGAGACTAATCTGAAATCAAAGTGAAGTTGCTTGGGGTTTGCATGCCAGAAGTGGTCACATTTGAAAAAGTTCAGTGAACCTGCAGAGGGAGGTTGAAATTAGTTCCTTCACTACAAAGCTTACAGCTAACATACCTGCTGATTTGCTTTTTGCTTTGATTCTTCAGGCTCTGCTTTCTTGCTACTTTCTGAGTTGGTTTCAAAATGCATAAATCTAAAGGATGAGCATGTCCTGATTTCAGTCTGTTTAGGTTAAAAAAAAACAAGTAAATCAGTCTACACCGGTAAAATTGATACAAGCATTAACACGAGGGCATGGCAAAACTGCATTTTTCCCTTCTGCCTCTTCCTTTGTGCAGTTATTCCCCTCTGTAAAGGTGTATATCACACTTTACTCTCCTGATTTACCAACATTTGACCTCCCTTTGTACCAAGGTAAATGGAGATAATTCCTTTCAAGTTCTTCTAAGTAGATACTGAGGGCTCTTGCCTTGATCCCTGTAAGATGACTCTGCTCCTTTGAAACCACTGGAGCAATGCCAGGAATCCAGCGTGTTATCCCTGCTGAATGTCAGCTGCTCTCTCTATTTTGATACTGGCATTTTGGGATGATTTGACCAAGAATATCATGCAATATTAAGTGCAAATGGAAATATTTCTGCCCTTCCTTATCCCCCTTAAGCCTTGTTCTGTGGGAACCTGGGGATGTGTTTTTTGGCCCAGCAACAAGAAAATGCCCTTGGTAGCCATGGCCCATACATAACCATATAGATGGCCCTGCATTAAAGCTGATCTGTTGTTACTTTATATTTACAGTGTTCTGTCTCCTGTGGAAGGGGCCAAAAGCACCGCAGTGTGTACTGTTTATCAAAGGAAGGGAGGCATATAGAAGAAGACTATTGCAAGCACCTTGCTAAGCCCAGCATGCAAAAGAAATGCAGAGGGGGCAGATGTCCGAAGTGGAAAGCAGGAGATTGGGGACAGGTGAGACACGTTGTATACCCTTGTGCACCCTTGGATATTCTTCCTCCCTCAAATTGGTTGGAAGCTGCTTTTCCCATCATTTCTGTCCTCTGGAGTTTTTTAAGGGTGAAAAGTTTTGGGTGAGAACCTTAGGTGATAAACAACAGCGTAGCTTCACGGACAGCAGAGATTTGTACCAGTTGAAAACATGGCAACTTGCTTTTAGTGTCTATCTGAAAGTCAATTCCTTGTTGTTTATTTTGTTTCTGCTAGTAGAGGCATTAGTAGATAATATTAAAGAGAATCTACTACTTATTTGTGGTTTTAATATCGTTATTATTTAAAATGTCACATCCCAAGCAAGACCTTCCTTAGTTCTGAGAAATCTGAAACTAATTTTATTATCAGCTTCCTGGGAAAGCTTAACGTAGAATCAGAGCTCTTCATTAAAAATGTTTTTCTCTGCCTTTTGTTTCTTAACAAGCTCATTGCTTGATTTTGCTTCGTTAAAAAGTCAGACACTGATGCACAGAGCAGAGGCTGCTGGAAATGTGAAAGTGTTCAGAGTTATTAAGCATTTTGTTTGCTGTAAGCATACCGCAGATCCTTGTTTTCCTGAAAAATAATGTCTTTGTCATCACCTTGAATCTGCTGCATCACATTTTTCTCTCTGAACCTCCCTTTTCCCCTCTACCTCATTAGTGTGCTAATCAGCAGAGGTATTGAAAATCCTAGACTAAATGAACTGTTAACTTGTGAAACATCATGTTCTCTTGAGGTCTGTCTTCCACATTAAGGTACAAAACACCAGTTCTCATTCAAGTTCCCTGAAAGATAAACCACTAACATTGCTACAGGCACACATGCAAATGTTAGGACAAGGACAATATAACGTTGTTTAATGTCGACTATTAAAAAAGACAATAAAGCCACTGGTGTGCTATAATTGTTTTCAGACTTGTACTTTTTCTTAATGCTTACCTTTGAATTCATAGGATAGGAGTATTTGCCATTATGTGTGTCAAGGGCTAAGTGCGGAGGTTCAGTTACTGAGGTCTGGGTCCTTTACCTCAGGTATGGCTGGGAGCACTCAGGTAGCTGTGCATAGCCCTGTGAAATGCTCCCATATTGGAAATCAGCTCAATATTATTACCTTTATTACCTGCAGGAATGAAAGCTCAATTTTATACAGGAAGCTAGATTGAGAAGCCGCCTGAAGCCATTAGGTAGTCTCATCATATCCCATTTGATCCTTATTTAAAGTATTTTTTTTACACCTAATAACTGTAAACGTAATAATGTAATGGTCTGTTGATTGCGTTAAAACACACTCATATTAGTTGATACAAGTATGTGTTTTAAAATTCCCAACATTCTACCGCATGATCAGAGTTAATTTTATGCAAGTGGAGAAAGAAACCCAAGGTAATAGGAGGATGAGGTGATTTATGGCCTGAGGTAATCTCTTGTGACTAGGCAATTAAGGAATATTTGTATGCTAGTGGTAAGAATAGGCAGTGCATTTCCAGGGGTGGCTCCTCAGCCCAGGTGCCTGATGCTGGGTGTGCTCAGCCAGCCAGCATCTTGCTTGGGGAAAAATAAAGGGTTAGAAACACTCATTCTGCACTATCAAGCTGGGCTTTTGGAAGCTCTGACATGGCTTCCTTGTATCCTGATCCTCACTCGTGCTGGCAGAGCTTTGCCTGTGACAGATGAAGAGCTGTGGCCATCACACGTTCAGGGCACCAGCCATGGCCATGTGAGAGCACAGGGCTTTCATGGCTTTGCAGAAGACTAAATCCAAGAGCCAAGGTGAATTTAGGTGCAGAACTTCTCATTAAGGCTGTATAACAGGCAGGGGTTCAGCACTCTGAATACCCAATAGATTGATCAGGGTCGAAATGGGCCCCATAATTCCGTGTCACCTTCCCCATCACCAGTACCACTGCTGAAAAGAGGAGCCTTGATCAGTTTGCTCTTCGATCTGATCAAGGAAAAGCTTTCTGAAGGTCTAAGTACCTCCGAAAGATAATCCCAAAGCTGAGCTGCTGTGAGCTGGCTGCCTTCCATCCTGGATAAACCAGCGAAAGTCTATGTGAGACATAAGGCAGGGTTTTCCCATAGGAGTGCATCTTTTTTGTCACCACATGTGCACAGGACCTCATGTACCTTTAAGGTTTTGGGGGTGGTTTTATTCTTTTTCATTTTGTAAAATGAACGATTCAAAAATCAGGATTAAAAAATACAGAAATGGTTAAATTGAATCCCCGCTGGCAGCTGTGCTTCGCTTCCAGGTTTTTTTCTCTCTGGATGTTTTGTATTCAGAGGCTGCATAATTATTTTCTAGATTGTTATGAATCCACTTTCCTGCAGCAAAGCATTTTTAATATATCTGCGGTATCAGAAGGCAAGCAAAAAAGGCTTTTTCTCCAAGTTTTAAATGTGCTTGTATCTGCACTGAAATGTCAGATTTAATATGTTTGCATCTCCTAAGTGGTATCAATTATGGCCATTTTACCTTTCACTTAGCAAAAATACCAACATTTATTCTGCTGTGTGGTATTTACACATTGCAGCTATAAGCTGAAATCCAGGCTGGTCTGAAAATCAGCTAGAGCATCAGGTAGAACTTCCCTATAGCTGTGCTGGCACTTGGCAGTTTGGTGACTGACTTTCTCAGTGGGGAAAGGAGCACTCCTGGGAAAACATATGGACATTGTTGAAAGGACTAACAGGCTGCCTGACTCATGGCATCCCCTAGGAGAATATATATAGGTACAGCAAAAGCTGTCTGCCCCAGACTGAGTATCTTCTGGCAGTGTCAACCAGCTGTATTTCCCCAAGGTAGACAGAGGTTGGCTGTTCTGGATTAAAACAGACAGGATGAAAATGATGTTAGAAACCTTCTTTTCTTACCTCTGTAATAGAGTGGAATGGTGTGATTTTGAAGCCAGCCATAAATGCAGTGAAACAGTTCACTCCCCCACTGCAAATCCTCCCACGCATTCGATCAGGGTGCAGCATTTATTCTCATGGGCTTACACAGGGGCCAAGTTTCACCTAGGCACACAGTGAAATGAGTCTATGGCTTTACCTGGTGTCGTGCTTTGCCCAGCACAGACAGGTACCAACCTCTGTCTCCCCAGACCCACTCTACCTGGGTGTCACACACAGCACAGCCCCTGTGAAAGACCCACTACATCGCTAGTGCTCCTTTATCATAACATACCCAGGCATGTGCCTTTTAGGTGACTGATAAATGCAAACCAAGACGCATTTTGGAGCATGGTATGCATCCTGGTGTACGTGTTTCTCCAAGTTTGTGGCCATTATTCAGTTTAATTGTTCCCTGTGGAATGCATAGGACAAACACAGTGCTGTTAATCAGAGGGCAGCAGCGCAGCATATGGGAAGCATTTGCATCACCAGTGACAGAAATCTCACTGCTACTTTCAAAAGTTACACAAAAAAAAAGTCCCTTCCATCATCTAACGAATATCTGGAGCCAGGCAGATATTCACAGTCAGCTTTTCTTTGGTTTTCTTGGCTTTATGGGGTATTTGGATAGTAAAGCAAATGGAGAATTACAAAGGAATACTCTGCAGAAGAGAGAGTTGCTTCCCCATTAGGCACTGCTTAATTCCCTGCCTTAAGAAGTCTCGCTTCTACGGGTATTGCAATAACGGGCTGCAAACTTGTTTTCTTAGTTCCTGATGTATTAATAAGATTATTTATATTGATGGTTAATTCAGCAGATGGCTAACTGTAATAGATGTGTTGTAAATACATACCTCTGATTTTTAGATGCTTTCTTCTATAAATACAAATTCTCTTTATTCCAAATCTATACAGTATACTTTAAGATCTAGCCCGGAAGAATCCATACCAGAGGGACATTAAGTACTGCTAAACATATTACAGTGTGCAGTCACAACACTAAGAAATGTTGCATGAAACTGAAAACAAGCTGTTACAAGCATTTTAGTGAAGATGATAATTTGAAAATGTCTGAGAAACAGAGGAATTCGGGCTCTTTTTGCTGTGCCTAGAAGTGGGGAGGAATGTGCCCACAGTGTAATGAAGGAAATGTGAAATGCAGTTCATTAAAAAAAAGACATTTATTTTCACAAACTAACAGGCTTGTGTGCATGGGCATGTTCAGATGCTCACTGAAAGAAACCCCAGCTTGTATCATACCTTTACCTTTCTACTGCTACACACTTTCTTCTATATAATCCAAGTTCGCTTTTCATTAAACTCCATTCCAGTTGTGGCATTTGATACATTTTGAGCTATTACCTTCTTGAGCTGAGTGCCTGTGAAGCAACAGGCAGAGCCTGTCTCTGGCATGCTGTGGTTTAAGTTTAGCAGTGTGGCTATCCATCTCCAGAGGTTTTTGCAACAGAAATCCTGACCCCACTGAAGCCCAGTGCAAAATTCCTGCTTGCTTGAGCGGAGCAGGGATTTCAGTCTGCAGAAAAGCCTCCCCTGGAAGTTTAAATGCTGGCTTTAGCGCGTTGCTATCACAGCCGCTGAGTTCAAAGCAGAGGGCGAACCCACAGAACTTACCGTGAAGCTGCGACCACCACTCACCTTTTGTCCCTTCCTCCAGTGCTCGGTGTCCTGTGGCCGGGGTGTCCAGCGCCGCGCCGTCCACTGTCACAGCGGCACCCCGAAGGCAGCCGAGGAGGCAGAGTGTGACCCGTCCAGCCGTCCCCCTCCGCAGCAGGACTGCCACCAACCCGAGTGCCCCACGCACCGCTGGGCAGCTGGCGAATGGCAAGCGGTAAGCGGGGTCCCCCCCTTCCCTTCCCTGGGGTCACGTCGCTTGTGCTCTCGTGTGCGGTGCAGGATGGTGCTGGAGATGGGGAGTTGCTGAGGCTGGAGATCAGTGCTGGAAGGATGGGGTTTTGGGGTTGCAAACTGGGCTTTCCAAAAGATAAAGCAGAGGAAACACTCACATGTGCTGGGTGGAAGGGGGAGCTGAGAAATACCTCGATAGGGTTAATACATGGCTTTGTGCTGCCCTGTCTTTGGCTGGGACCTATGCAAATGGTGAGCGGGTTTGGGGTAGGGCAGATTTGGGTCTGTTCCTGGAGGCTGAGCCCTGCTGTGCTGCTCCAGCAGTCAGCCCTGTGCTTCTGGGTTTGAAGGACTGGTAATTCCCACTTTTCTGCCCCCTTCTGCCGTCTCTTTCCTTTCACTGAGCTCCTGGTCCATGCTTTTTGTCAAGCTATAAGCAGAGGTGAGATGCAGTGTCCCACAGGAAATGGTGTGCACTGTGGCAGGCTTTGAGGTATACAACAGGTTTTGGCAGAAAGAGCTCAGACCAGGCACCAAAATGATGAATTTTGTTCTGGCTTAATTCAGTTTTTAGTTATCCCTGCCCCAGCCCTCATCCATCCCTGTCCTATTGTCCCAGGCTCTTCCCAGGGACTGCCAGCCTTGGAAATGGGAAAGGTGATGGAGCTGCCAGCTCTGGTGAGCTGACTCCTGTGTCACACACCTGCAAAGGGGCCACCACTCCTATGGAGAGGATGTCCTTGTCACATAGGGAGGAGGGGATTGCACGTCATGGGCCCTCCATGGGGATGCAGGGGATGGAGGGGTCCAGCATTCACTGACAGTCAGGCTGCTTTTATATTGCTCCTGCATGGCCCAGGGAGGTCTTGAAGTGGAATGAAATTGGCTGAGGTTCCTTTGCCTGCTGAGACACTGTAAAGAGGCCATGGTGTAAATGCAAAACGGGGCCTCATGCTCCGGTAACAGAAGATAGAGAAGTGTTGCTGGCTTACTGCTCAAAGCCTTGGTGTTCACAGGCACTTGAGAGCCTGCCCTTGTGTCACTAAGGAAAAAAAGAAGGAAAAAAAGGGGGAAGATAGGAAAAGCAAATTTACTGATAAGAGAAAAAGCATCTCACATGTACAGAGGCTGTGCAGCTTCTCTGCTGCTGCAAGGAAAGATTCAAGGTGAGGTCAGCACCTGTTTTTCTCTCATCCTTCCTCTTTCATGAGCTATTTCTTAGCTCCTCACTGTGCTGAGCACCCCAGACTGCAAGCACTTGGGTGTGTGACATTGTCTAATATCCCCTAATATACTAGGCACATTGGCCTGGTAGGAATAGTGTAAATAAGTTTAGCTTGCTACATGGTCTGGTGTGATGTGTCCTTGTCCATGGCAGGGGGTTGGAACTGGATGATCTTAAGGTCCTTTCCAACCCTAACTATTCTATGATTCTGTGATTCAGAGCTAAGCTGATGGCTCAGTGGTACCCAATGAAAACATCCTAGCCTGGAAAAGAAATGTAGGAACAGCCCAGGAGGCTCGAGCAAATTCCTTGCGATGAACTTTTGCTTTTACAGAGCCCGTTAAATTTCCTCAGCTAATAAATTTACAGGCGGCAAAGTAGGTCAGCAAACAGCATGCAGTTGCAATCCTTATCCAATGGTGTAATTAGCTCTGAAAAGCCGCAGCTCTTACCCCATCATTTTGCTTCTTCGCTTTACTTTTACAACTTCTCAAACCAGTGGCAAGAGGCCTCTGCCTGCTTCTACCCTACCAAGCCCTTGGTGGGAGGTGGATGTTGATATTTTCCTCAGTTTCCCAACACTGGGAAAAAAATTACTGTGTTACAGAGGTTTGTTGTTGTTTTTTTTTCCCTTGGGAGCTTTGCTAGAGGAAAGCTGGGCTGAAAGTTTCCTCACCCATAAATAACCATTAATAGAGACATGCAGGAGATCCCAAATGTGAGCTCTGCCCTTTGGCTGACTCCAAGCAGTTCTGGGCACTTCTTATTTTGTTCTGATATACCTGGTGAAAGAAAGTAATAGCAGCTTCTCCCCAGCCATAAGTAGGGGCTACATATTATTCGTAGTGAGGAGGCAGAGACTGCGTTAGTATCTCTGAGCAGGGAACAGCAATGAACCCTAATTGATACGAAAGGCAGGATGTAAAATAAACATCCCAGCCCTGTCTTATTCTTGATTTCTTATCTTTAAAGGGAATCTGTAAAGATGGGTTTTTGTATTGTTCCTTTTTGTTGTTATTTTTATGAAAAAAGTTGGTCTTGCCCATGAAAGGAAGAGGGAACTTACTGGAAACCATTTATTGCTCTGTTGGTGTATCGCCATTAATTAGCTGTCCTCAATACCCCCACCAGGGAGAAGAAACTCAATAGAAAGGGCCTTGTTAATGTCAAAGTAAAACTCAGACCATGGTCACAAAGAAAAAGGGAATATTGGGGAGAAAAAGGTTTTTTTTAATATGAACCTCTCTGGAAGCTGCAATGCAGTGCTTGAATCTTTGACATTTGCCATTTGGGGGAAAATCCTTGTCTGACTGGGATTGCAGAGTTACCCAAGGCATGTTTGGAGTGTTCGTGGCTTGGGGTTTCATTTCATCTCTGTGTCAGATTTTGATTTAAAATGAGATGCCAAAGAATGCTTTTGCAAAGCTGTGCCTTTGGGGTTTTTAATTACTATTATTACTCTTCCAAAACAGTTGCAGAAGTGTTTGAAATTGTTCTTAATTTGAACTGCCAGGAAAACAATTCAGAATATGGGAAATGAGGCAAAAGAGATGAATATTGTCAAATGCCTGAGCTGTTTTTCAGCCCTTGCTATCAATAGCTTTTATACCCTGGCTCCTCTGTTTTGTGGGAGATTTAGATCAGTCATGAACATGAGATTTCATGCAAAATCTATCACCATATTAAAAGGAAAAATAGCCTTTTCATACTAGCTGAACTGTCCACTTCCTACATGAATAATGTTTTATAACCTTGGGGTAGCTGATTGGAAACTCTGGAGTGCTTCTCTTTGATTTATTTTATGATGGCCTCGCTGTCTTTGAGCCATATTTAATATCTCAATGGGATTAATTTAATTGCCAGTTATACCTAAAAATACAAATAATCAAACTTTAATTTACTGATGATGATAAAATGCACAGGGGCTGGCTCAAGTTTATTTGCCATGTAACCATTATTTGCAGAGAAACCCAAAGCAGGCTGGTATGTGCTTGAAGTTGTCAATCTCTCATCAGCAACTAATGATTTTAAACAAGGAAGGGCTTTTGATATGATAACTCTTCAAAACCAGTGTCAAAAGATGCATTGATGGCATAGAGGTTGTTCATCCTTTTAAAATTAAGCCTGATCCAATGTACTTTGCAAATTTAGGCTTAATTATACATTAAGGGGAGGAGACAAAATCAGCCTTGTGTTTTCCTAATCTTTGAAAGGTGCCTTCTTTGAATGTGAGCAGCAGAGGTCTGAAACGATTCACTCTGTGCTAATGACCATGTGCTGTGCTGGTGTATCCCAAATCAGAGGCAAGGCAGGCTCTGAGCATCCCATGGCGCCGCTCTCATTGCGCTGGAGAGTTCCTTGTTGAGAAGTAACAGGAAGGTTTGGGGTTCATGCTGCCCCTGAAAGGGAAGCTACGTGATGATGGAACATAATGATTCCTTATTCACATGTATAAACCCCCTTCCAGATTTTACTTATATAACAGGGAGATATTGGAGAAGGGCAAATATAGCACAGCTTGTTTGCTGTCTGGGGAAATCAAACTCCTCCAATACCCATAGGATCACTGTGTTTCGGCACAGACCTGGGAGAGGCTTCTAGTCCAAGGACTTTTATAGCAAGAGAGTAAATAAGGTTGAAAGCACACGAAGCCCTTGGGGTCTTCTGGCAGACTACGGATTTTGCAGTGTTGACTGTTGCCTGAGAGCTCCTAAGTTATTCCTTCAGAATAGATGCTGCTTTGTGGGGCTGCCTCTCCTTCACCATTGCCCTCCACTTTGCTCAGTTACTAAATATTTACAACCAAGGTTGCTGTGACATTCCTGGTTTGCTGCTTCTCCTATGGATTGATCTGATTTTTCAAAGTCTTGGTTCTGACAGCTAATTATGGAAAGTGAAGGCCTGACAGTGCCTGTGCTTTGCAATTAGCTGAAACCACTAATAAACTTGCTAATTGTGGGCCAGTCAGGAAAGCAGGAGTCACTTTGGGGAGGCTGGAAATGATGTTTGGAGGGTGAGACTCTAACTAAATTAAACTGGGACAGTCCTATCTGACTTCAAGTAGTGTTTCTGTACAAATTGGGATGGTCTGATTGAATGTTTTATCCTTTTCCTTAGGGGAAGACATTTCCTGCATGTTACATAAAATGATTATTTTCATGCATGTTTCTCCTTGTTAATCCAGTTAGTTGAAAGTGTTAGAAGTCCATTTCAGGATATAACTTTAAGAAAATAGGGCTTTATCCAGACAGCTGCTTGTACTCTGATGTAGTTTGTTTTATGTGTGTTTTCTGTAAGATGTTCTCCAAGCACATACCCACTCCCAGGATCATAGCTTTTTCCAAGGTGAGCAGAGAAAGAACAAAGTCCTTAAAGTCTCCAGAAGCCCCCAGGGAGCAGTTGTGCCCAGCTAGCATGGGTTGCTCTTAATATTGCTCAGGGCAGTGTTGAAAAGAGAATAAATCCATAGGGCTGCCTCTGCTGCCGCAGCTGCAGACATGTACCCCATGCCATGGGAGGGCAGAGTGCTGCTGCTCGCCTGCTGGCAAGGACAGGGGAAGGGAACCCCCCACACCAGCCACAGCCAAGGGTGTATGTTGGAAGGGGGATGGCTGGGTTGTCATTCTCCAAACAGCTGTGTTTACTAAGGCTGAAATAGAATCACAGAATGGCTTCTGTTGGAAGGGACCTTAAAGCTCATCCAGTTGCAACCCCCTGCCAGAGGCAGGGACACCTTCCACTAGAGCAGGTTGCTCCAAGCCCTGTCCAACCTGGCCTTGAACACTGCCAGGAATGGGGCAACCACAGTTTCTCTGGGCACCTGTGCCAGCGCCTCAGCACCCTCACAGGGAAGAACTGCCTAATACTTAATATCTTCCTAATATTTATGTATCTCCTCTTTCAGTTTAAAGCTGTTTCCCCTTGTCCTATCAAATGCTGAGGATCAGCCCCTTTCCCCCTTGCCACATCTCCTGGCCTGGCATGCCCATCCCTGCATCTCTTGGTCCCATCACTGGACTCCACATCAGCCCCATCCCAATACTTGCTACCTCAGTTTCTCTTCTCTCCCTACATTTGGAATTTGCTCCAGAGGATGGGAGCAGGGATGCTCCCTCAACACCCAGCATCAAATTTGGCCTTCGTGATACCAATGGAAGATGCCAACACAGGGCATAAAGCCATCTACTCACTCAGGCCGCCAGGAGGGCTTGCTCCGGATGTGGGTTGATTTGCAAAAGTCCCCGATGTGTAGCATGAGCTGTTGTTTGTTGCAAACAGTGCATGAAGACATGCGGGGAAGCATCCCGGTACCGCAAGGTGTTCTGTGTGGATGAGAACAAGCAACCGCAGAACAGTGGCTACTGCGATGCCAGCAAACGCCCTCCCGAGATCGAGAGCTGCGGGCTGCCACCCTGCGAATACGTCTGGATCACTGGAGAGTGGTCGGAGGTGAGTCCCCATCCCTGTCCCTCCATAGGGGATGTGCTGTTCTGCACCAGGCCACGCTGTCCCCCTCTTGCCACCGGCCTCAGTGACATATTGCAGCCCAAATCAACAGTGTCAGGGCAGCGCTGCGTGGTGTTATTTTGGGGGTTGTTTCAGTGTGCAGTTTCCCTGCTGGAAAGAGAGGAGCAGGGCTGTGGTAAAAGACCAGGATATTAAAGACTATAAATGCCAGCATGCTTAGCATCCTAACTAATACCTAGAGGCAATTTTCTTCCAAAGCACGTTGCCTCCAACAGGCACCCTCTGTGGGTTTGTGCTATTTCATTTCATTTATTTGGTTTTATTCCTTCCAGTGAGCTCCATGAGCAAGGGTCTGGGTGAGCATCCAGGGGTAAAGGTGAGCCTGGACGTGACTGAAGGGACATCCTTCCTTGGTGTTGTCTCTGGCATGAGCAAAGGCAGCAGGTTCACTCTCACTGCTGGGAGAGGGCTCAGCAAGGAAAGCAGATGGGTTTTCTTTGTGGCAGGCACTGCATGCAGGAGGACCTGGGCTAATCTCAGCCTGTTTCCTTATGCTGCGAGTGAAGGATTACTTTCCACTTGGAGGAGCAGCAGAGGGAAATGACAAGGCAGCTGCTGACACAGCACTGATTAGAAAGAAAGAACAAGGAAAGGGAGAAAAAGAAAACAGGCTGGGGCTGAGGGGGAGGAGAGGCAAACCACCCAAGATAGCACAGGAGGGAGAAATGCAGAGATGAGAATTTGTTGGAGAAGCCTGGTTTCCTGGGTGGTTTTCTAAGAGAAATATTAAGGTGCTAATATCAAGCCCTGGCTGCCCCTTGCCCAGATGCCCACCACTCCCTCTCACCTCCTGTGACACCCCCCCCCCACTTCAGGCCCATGAAGACACAAAGGTGGGCAAAGCCTCACAGAACCAGAGCTCAGCTCTCCCCAGCTCCCACTCAGCCTGTTGGTGAAGAGGATAGGAGCACTGTCTGCCCTTTAATTACAAGGAAAATCTTCCCTTTTTGTCTAGTTACTGCCAAGTACCTGCTATTCAGGGTCAATCTTGACCATTTTCTTTCTCTGTGCATCCCATGGCAAAACCCAAACCAAAACAAAAAAGGGGAAAGAAAAAAAAAGAAACCCAAATAACAGAAGCACTTCTGAGTTCCCAAGGATCTTGTGCACCTTTCTTTGCCCTTAGGGAGAGATTCCATGTGCCCAGGAGCCAACCCGGAGTAGGGAGTCCTGGAGAAGCTGTAGGAGCGACACAGGGAGGAACAGTGTGTGCAGTGTCGGGCACTGGTCCACTTGTAGCCACTCACAGTATTCATGGCTGGCTTAAATAGTTACTAATGATCCCTCAAGCTGTCAAGCCTGCTTTTCCCTGCCATTTTGGGCAGCCTTCCTAAAGCATGCAGTGCTAACAGGCACTTCCTCTGCTTGCAGTGCTCCGTTACATGTGGGAAGGGATACAAGCAGCGCCTCGTATCCTGCAGTGAGATTTACACCGGAAAGGACCACTATGAGTACGGGTACCAGAACACAGTCAACTGTCCTGGCACGCAGCCACCCAACATCCAGCCCTGCTACCTTGGGGAGTGCCCTGTCTCAGCATCCTGGCGTGTTGGCAACTGGGGAAGCGTGAGTTTGGCAAACTTCTTTTTATAACCGAAATCATTGGAACAAACTTTTTTTTCCTTACACCAGGAGACATGGTCTGAAAGTTTGGTGGGGAAATGCTTAAAAGCTGCATAAATGAATGCAATGAATACCCTTGTGCAGCAACAGCCCTGGTGTGTGTAGGGCTCCATGCTCCAGATTGAACCCCATCATATGGGGGAGTCCCAGCAGCTACAAGTACAATCATGATTTCAAGTTTGGATGTAGCCAAAATTGGTGGCAGTGTTGATAGTCATGCTGAATGCTTAGTCAGAAAGTGGGGTCTTTGCCAGAAAAGGAGTGTTTTGAAAGTGTGGTGCTAGAAGGATTGATGGATAGCTGGCAACTAGGGTTGATCTTGTCCATGTGTATGAGCAAGACTTGGGAACCACCTATAGGCCAAAATGCTGGTAATTTGAGCCTTAAAAGGATTTTACTTTCTTCCCTCTCCACATGACCTCCTCTTTATAAAGGCTGGAACAGGGCAGGGGAAAGAACTTAGCCTTTCTGCTAAAGTTATTTGTGTTGAGCCTCTTTTGGGGGCCTGAACTACAAGATCAGGTTTTAGTTAAGGTGATAACATTTCACTTCTTGTGCTCCTGACATCCTTTGAAATGTGGTGTTCCTCCCATAAATTTGATTTATTAACCCAGCTCAGGCATTTGTAGGAATTTGTCAAACCTTTACAAGGCAACAAGGGTCAAATCAAGCAAAACGCAGTGGAAACTGTCAAAGTAAATGGCAGAACCATTTGAAACCTAAGTTGCTCCTGCTCCATAGGAAGCTTCAGATCATCCCTGAAAGTCAAGGCAGAGGAGTTACAGCAAAGAGCTCAGCCTCAATTAACTGGTATTTTCTCCAGAATTTCAGTGTAAAATGTCCAACTCATTAATACAAGTTCATTGCAAGGAGTATCCATTTCAGAAAGCCAGACCTTTCTCCTCACTTTGGGCTGCTGAACGTCCCAGTGACTACCATATGCCATGACCCTTCTCATCTCTGATTTTCAAAGGGATTTAATGTAAAATACCATCACCTCTGATGGACAAAGGGAGTCCTGCTCAGCTCCTTAGTTAAGTTTTATGGGTCTGAACCTAAGGAAGAATAAATGACAAGCTGTGAATACCATGAGCCATTGAAGACCTTCTCCTTCATGGTGTGTCATTTAGACTAATCATTTCTCAGTAGACAAGCAGCATCATTTTCTTGGCGGCCCAACCTGGTATCTGTAGAAAGAGCTGATTTTCAGTTCTCCAGTACTTGAAAAAATAAGCTGCGGAGGTGGAGCAAGATGCTCCAAACTCCCATAGCCCATGCTTAGCAGCAGCCAACTCACACAAGCTGCTGCTCCGTAGCTCCAGTAACTTGTGCAGTTTCAGCATAAAGATTGCCCTTGATTTGAGCTGTTTGAGGATGACAGTTTTTTGCTGTTTGCACAGATTTTTCCAGAGGGTGAGGGGAGAGAGGGTTTGGAGGCTGTGGGTTTTTTTTGGTGCAATATGGATAGAAAGTACCAACCCACATTGTGTTTGTTTTGAGGGCCGTGTCAGTGACCCAAGCAATGTCTCCCAGCCACCAGGAGAGGATTTCTACCATTCAGGCCTTCTGGTGAAGATTTCTCCCTTGTATGACCTTCCTAATGTGAAATACAAACAATTTCAGGAGCACATGGTTCACATTAACCAAATGCCTCATCCAGTAAAGTGTGCAAGTGCTAAACAAAGTACAGTCATTTTCTTGAAACAATTAATGACGATAATAATGAAGTGATTAATAATCAAGAGGACTACTCATTTGCTTAAAATTAAGTCTAGGTTTGAATACTTTGCAGGATCAGGGGCTTTGCTGCTGTCTCTTGGTACAAGAGAAACAGTCTGTGCCTGTACTTCTGAAGCCCAGAAACCCTGGAGATAAAGCATGAATCTCTGTCTTGCAGTGCTCTGTCACCTGTGGAGTTGGAGTCATGCACCGCTCAGTGCAGTGCTTGACGAACGATGACCAGGTCAGCAGCTTGTGCCAAGCAGATCTGAAACCTGAAGAGAGGAGGGCATGCCACAGTGTCCATGACTGTAAGTCACAGATTTGCCTTTCTCGTGGTTTCAACATCTTTCCCACTCAAACTAGAGATATGCAGCGTTTCCAAGCACTGGGAGCCATCCAGCTAAGCACTAAGGCATTTCAGGGAAACCTGTCATAAGATAAACAAGGTGTTTTGGTGCTTTGGATGCCACACAGTGTTACAAAACAAATGTTGATGTACAGTGGCTCAGTGACTACAAGTGTTTCTGTTTTGTTTCAGGTGAATTACCAAGGAGTTGCAAGGACATTAAAAATCTCAAAGGTGTCATTGAAGATGGTGAATATTTCCTTCAAGTCAAAGGGAAGACATTAAAGGTGCATTTCAGCAACAAATTGATAGTTAATGCATTTCCCTAAGGTGCAAGAGGACCCTGTGTGTGCTTTTCACTTCTGCTCTTGGACTTTCTACCTTTGATTTTCTTGCCCATCCCTTTGCACAGGATGCCTGACAAAACTCTGGCTTCTCTTTCTCAGGTATATTGCTCTGGGATGCAGACTGACAGCCCCAAGGAGTACATGACCCTTGTAAATGGGGATGCAGAGAATTTTTCAGAAGTGTATGGATACAGGTAGGAAATCCCTTAATCCTGAGCTTCACAGTGGTTTTATTTTCCATGGCAATATTTTTCGGTCATGAGTAGAAAGGGTTTTCTTTTGATTTAGATTGCATAACCCGACTGAATGTCCGTATAACGGGAGCAGACGAGAAGACTGCCAGTGTAGGAAAGATTACACAGCAGCTGGGTTTTCCACCTTCAGCAAAGTAAGGCTGGACCTGAACACTATGCAAATAATAAGTGAGTAAAAACAGGGCCTTACCATTAAAAACAATATGTTTATTTTACACAAATGTAGCTGTAACTAGAAGCAAGCAGTAGTACTGTAGTGAGCAACATTCCTGAGCTCTCCTGTTTTGAAACTTGGTCACTTGTTTGCTGCTTTAAGCTTAGAGACTGCAAGTTGAGTACCTCAGAGATGCTCATACTTATTCTCCATAATATGGAAAGACATTCAAACAGTTGCTGGTACATCTGCTGTGCAGAGTGAATATTTGCATGCTCCTGGCAGGCCAGGGCTTTTTAAGGACTTTATTTCATTTGGTCTTCTATTTTCAGATGGGACTCGGAAGGCTTAACCTCATTTAACATACACGTGTGTCAGGAGATCCCAGCACAGGGGACTCCTCTGGGGTCAGAATGCTGGTCCCTTTGGGCCAGGGTGGAGGAAGCTCTTGACAGAGCCAGATGATGGGGAAATAACTTGTGTGGAGAGTGATGGAGCTGAGGCCCTGGATTTGCAGGGGCAGAGGGGAATGTAGCTGTGCAGTATAAGTGATACCCTGTCTCTCTTATCATTCATGGGAGCTGGGAGCCTGCAGCATCCCACAGGGTCATGGTTTCAGTCCCACTGACTCCAGAGATACTATCAGTTTCCATCAAATGATTTAAAAGCACAACATATTGTTGGAGGTTCATTCAGCATCTAGCAGAGATGTTTTTCAGTGAATCAAAAATCCTTCCTTGTAAAATGACTCTTTATCTGATAAGGGTTTTTTTTTTAATCACTTAATTTTCAAGCCATGAGACCTCCCAGTCTATGAGTCTGTAAAAAGCTACTAATAGTCTGTAAAGGTAAAGAGCTCAAAAGAACCACCCTTGGGAAATTTGATACCAGCTCCCTTTGAATTTCAAAAGGAGCTGGGCACCTACCTCTGTCAGGCAGGAGCTATCTCACATCCCCATCTAAATGAGTCTTGATTACTTCACATCCCTCCAGAGCAAAATACCCCAATTCCCTTTGAAACCCCGACCCCTGTGCTGAGGCAGCCAGGAGAGCACTGAGATAGTTGTTTGCCTTTGTTTAAAAAGGAGATTTAGGAGGTCCCATGGCTTTCTTGAAAGTGGGTAATTTTCTGACAGAGAAATAAAACCCAAGTCATGGGTTTGAGTTTTGTTCTTATTTACACCTAGGCCCTAAATCACCAATGTGCTTAAACTGAACTGTGAAGTTTGAGTGTTTAAGTGTCTTGTTAAAGTCAATGCTCACATCCTGGGAGTCGCATGTGGGATGAATAGAGGGATTTAATATTAAAAATCCAGCAGTTTTAAGATTCATGTGTGAAACCGGCTTTAGTGAATTTCAACGTTAGCAAACAGCATATTTACAATTGTGTTGTCTCTTCCCCTGCATCTTTCTTTCCGTGTTATTCACCAACTATTCTCCACAGCAACTGATTTACAGTTTGCACGGACACATGATGGACGACCTGTGCCTTATGCCACTGCTGGGGACTGCTACAGTGCAGCCAAGTGCCCGCAGGTATTTCACAATAGCATTTCATAGCAATTGGTGACATTTGTTATGTCCAGGTCCTCTATTAATTACTGCTGATCACATTAGCCCAATCTTGGTGAGTGTCACATTCTCATCTTAGTGATTGGAAGCTTCATTTTGTCCATGAAGGAAGCACCTTCCATTTTCCATGAGTGAAAATGTCAGGTCATTATCAGGCCACTGTCAGGACTGGCTGAGGGACATTCCCCTGGGCCTCAGTCAACAGTAAAGGGTTTGGGTTAGAACTTGAAGATCACCTAGCTCCAATGGCAGGGACAACTTCCACTAGACCAGGTTGCTCAATGCCCCATCCAACCTGGTTTTGAACATTTCCTGTGCATCAGGGCAAATCCAGCCTGTCCCAGCACCATGAGGTGCTGGCCATAAAAGTATGGAGCTGGGCACAGGCTAAGTTACCTCCTTGGAAGCTCTAGGAGGTGATGTAGGATATCTATTCCAAGCCCAGTTGCTTGGAAAAAATACACTTTCTTCAAAGTCTTTAGGAGACTGATTAACACTTTGCTATAGGTGGATTGCTCCCTGTCCCCAGCACAATTAGCTTTTGTGGAGCTGGAGGATGATAAGTGATGTGTTTGGGATTGGAACTAGATGATCTTGAGGTCCTTTCCAGCCCTAACTGTTCCAGGATTCTATGTTTGGATAGTCCAGGCTATTTGGTGGACCATATTTGCAAAGAGCATTAATCAAGGAGTCGCTGCAACACACGGTAGAGGGCAAACCTCTCCATCTCCTTCCCTCCGTACTTTTAGAGTTGAAGCTTTTCTGCATAGCTCAGCAGCTTAGGGATTGACTTCCTACCTCAGGAAGGCTCATGAATGTTAATATCCATCTACTTGACCCAGACAGTTTGATCCTCACAGAAAATCAGCATTCCCAAGGCAGCCACTGCAAGGAGCAGAGCTAACAACCATCTGGTACCATGCGGCCATGCTGGGTTGTGGGTCAGCCTGGGGATGTGTCCAAATGATCCCTCCTTGGGTCCCAAAACAGGCAGGGCTGGGGTGTGCCATGGGACTAAGGCAAAGGCTGGGGGGCTGTGTGTTGGATGAAGGCGTAGCCCTTAATTTTCCTTCATTTGGGGGATTTGGAGATGGGGTGGAATAAAGTGAAGGACATTTTTAAGAAATAAGCAATTGAAAGAGTTTTGATTTTACTGAAGTCCAGAGGGGGGAAACCCAGTGGAAAACAGGGAAAACACGGACAAGTGTGCCCTCTCCAGCTGAGGAAGGAGCAGTGAGAGCCGCTGCAGCGCATCCCTGGGGTACCTTTCCCATCAGCTGTCGGAACACGTCATGCTCCGCAGTTTGCCATGGAAAAGCCAAGAATGCCCTCAGCCGGCAAACCGCGAAAAAGCAGTGAAAACCCAAGATAAAACCCCTCCTTTCCTGCAGCCACCAAGAAGGAAATTCCTAGCCCAAGACATGCTGTGATTCAAACAATATGTGCTTATCACTGTCAGAGCGATGGAAGACATTTAAAACATCGCTGGCAAGATCCTGTTGGAAAAGTGGTACTATGGCAAGTCACAGGAGGCCAAAGCACGGGGTTTTGGGCTAACCAGGCTCATCTGCTTGCTTTTTAGGGTCGCTTCAGCATAGACCTGTACGGGACAGGCCTGACCTTAACGGGACGAGCAAAATGGCTCTCACAAGGGAATTATGCGGTGTCAGAAATCCAGAAATCCCCAGTGAGTTGTAATTTTACCTATGGTTATAGCTGCTTATAGGGCTTTTAATTGTCATGTTGTGTTTCATGGTAACATCTTCCAAGTAGACACTAACAAAAGAATAGCATCTGACATTAAATTGTTATCTGTAATTGCATGGGGAGAGCAGGAGCTAGTGGGTTTAACTTGATGTGAGTTGTTGCAATTAATTGGTGAGCCTGCTTAACCATGAGTGCTGTGGGGTAATATCCTTAATTAGTTGTCTGAGATGTCCAGCATAGAGTGTATATCACACAGCAGGCAGGACACATGTGGTCAGGGCTGCAGAGGGTCTATGGGCCAGCCGAGTGCCCTCAGTAGGAATTGTTCCCAAAGGGCTGCTAATAAAGTGAGGAGGATATGGACTGTCCCACTGGGATGGGTTTATCTGCTTGGGAGAGACTGGAGTCCTCACAGCTGCATTGCAGGGCACTGTCCCCTGGACCTACCTGTGGCTTCACTAACCTGTGGTCTCTGGGTAAGCCAGACAGACCTTCAGAATCACCCCACGCCCAAATCTGAACTTGTATGGCTTAATTTGCCTGCCTGTTAACACCCCCATCACTGTGTGCCTTTACATACTGTTGCTTCTGTGTCACGTTCTGAAATTGGAGAAACCCAGGACTGCTTTTTTGGCTGTTACTTCATATGAGTCATCCCAACTGCCCCTGTTAAAGCTCTCCAAACTTACGGATGTCACCATAACCATTTCATAGAAAGCAATTTGCAAAATATCCTCTCCTGTACTGCTATCGGTATCCCTGGCTCTGGGGAGCCCCATGAGCCTCATCAGTGCTAGTGCTCTTAAAGGAGAATTAAATGCTACTGGTCCAACCACATTGCAGCAAATCATCCTCCAGTGCAGGTGGGACCAGCACAGACCTGGTAGCTTAGTTCTGGCAGGTGCTTTGCTGTTCTACCTTTCAGAAAGAAGATGCAGCCGACTTGGGGGTTGTGGAGAGCAGACACCACCACAGCTAACAGGATTAAAACAAACTTTAAAGAATAAGGGTCAAGGAGACAACTCTTACCTCCATCACCCACTGGCATCTGTCAAGTGCTGTTCCAAGGATGTAATTGCCTGCAGGATCAGGAGACAGGCATCATGAGAAGAAATGATAGCAGCCTGCTGCAATCACAGATCAATAGTGTCAAGGGCAGGATGGAGCTCGTTTAAAAATAAATGCTTTGTGCAAGCTTGTCCTGCACTTAGGTCCAATTTTCTGGTAATTGAGGGCTGAGCTCCCCTCAAGGACTGTCTGTCCGTCTTAATGACCAAGAGGAGAACGACTCTGCAGAGGTGGGATGAGGAAGGTCAGATGGAGATGTTAATCTCCTGACTCAAGACCAGAGTTGCATCATCCTTGCTGAGCTCTCCTGGAGACTAGGCTAACCCCAGGACCTCTCCACATTTTCCTTTGTCTTTTCTGGCTTTGGAAATGCAGAACTGGTGAGAGACAGCACCTTAGCAAGTAGCAGAGCCTCAGCCCATTGCTTTCCTTCTTGTCGCTGCAGCCACTCCAGACCTTTTCCTTCCAAATGGATGTTTCTTGGTATCACCTGCAAATACCTTTCCTGTGCCCTTCACGTGCTCAGGCACAGCTGAGAAGCTGTTATTGTCTAGATGTGGTTTTGCATGAGCTGAGTTTTCCACTCACTACAGTTATTCACTGTGGGGCAGTTTGGAGAAAGCAAATACCCTTGAGATACCCCTCCAAATGGTCATCTCCTTGGGCATCTTTCAATGTAATGAATCAAAACTACCCTTTCTTATTTGTGTTCACCATCTGACCTGGTAGCACTAAAGAGAATTACATTTGCATATATTTAAATATAACATTGATTTCATAGATTGATTTAGACGTAATTTGTTTTCCTTTCAAGGCATTTTCTATAAAAACCCTTACTAGAATAACCCAGATCCAGCCCTTCCACAGCATGTTATTCCTGAGCCCTTACCTGAGATGTTATTTCTGATTTTGCCTGCAGGATGGTACCAAAGTAGTAGGAAAATGTGGCGGTTACTGTGGGAAGTGTACTCCATCATCTGGAACAGGCCTTGATGTTCAGGTGTTATAGCCATGGTAAGTTCCCTGCTGCTCCTGCATGAAGGGAAATCCTTCCCAAAACATCCTAGAGGAGCAGATGCGGCTTCAGAAGATGATGGTCTGACTTTAATGTGCACCTTGTCTGTATTTTCTAGGTTGTCTGCAAGCGGAGATGAGACGAATGAAGGATAGCGATGCAATACCTCTGCCTTCCACTTTTTTATGTTTATGTATGTATATAGATTGCATATTCTTAATGTACAGGTTAATATTTATGTTTGGAATTATTTATTTTGATTTAATATTTTTGTACGTAAAATCATGATATTAAGGCTGCTTTTCCTATTTTTATTTTTTATTGTTAAATCCTGCAGTCAAACCACTGCATTTTGCGTACTCTACATTATATGTAGCATTATGACAAGTGATACTTTATTGTCACTGTATTCAGTTGTTTACTTTCAATCAGTAATTTTCCTTCAGTTATGGGCTGCTTTTGCCCTCTACGGTGCTACACAATCTGCATAGGGGTATTTTTGGCATTTCAATCTGTCTTTATGTTAAGGAAAATAGACAAGATGTGCTTAAATTTTATTTTTAGGGATTAGGCTGACAGCACTCGAGGAAAACATGACAATGAATACAGTGCTAGTTGCATTAGCAATCTTTATCTTTTAGGTATGTTTTGAATTTCACATGACCTCTGTGGCCAGTGCTAAAAGCACTGGTTTGGTGCTAACATGGTATTTATTAATGCTCTGTAGTTTTAGTTAATCCAGTGCCTTTATCAGTGAAAAAGGGAAGAAAGTAGAAAAATTGTCAGGTTCAAATAAACTGATCTCAAGGTCCTTTCCAACCCTAACTATTCTATGATTCTAAATTAAGATCTACCCCAGGTTTAGGAAAATTCCTGCAGATGGATCTTCAGCTCAAGCCCCTTTTTCATAGGGCCCTGAAGAGAACTTGGTTTTTTAAAAACCGTATCTTTGTCTCCTAATTGCATGTGCCACTGTGCTTCCTGCTCCATCTGGAAGCGGGGTATTAACTCATCCCAGACAGGCTGATCAGCCCATATGTTTCCCTGGGCTGTGTGCTGAGAAGTGATGCGGGTTCTTATGGACATTGTCACAAAATCCTAACGGGAAGCTGAAAGCACCCCTGCAGTGTTATCTCCCCTGGGGCCAGTGTGGACCGCAGGGGATGTGGGACAGCAAGCCCAGCCAAGCCAGCCCTTCCTCTTGGCCAGGGGACTCCATTGCAGGCACCTGCAGCGTTTCCCCAGCCTCCTACTCACCCACAGACCATCTGCAAAGGGAAGCTTCAGCCTTAATTCAACAAGATCACTCTGTACTTACAGATAACTCTGCCCCCCCCTTCAAAAACAAGCTGCTTTACGCCTACTTCTGTATTGCTTTGGATCTTCCTGGTAAGGCATCTGTGCTCCTTGCCTGTTTGCCACCCTATGTACAACCAGACCTTTAGTACTGGCTTTGTTATATATATACATAAAAATTGAGGAGCCATCTCCCATAGGCACTGAATGCGGCTGTGCAATAGTACCTGCCTGTACATAGCCTACTGCTGATGGCATGCCGCCTTTGTGCAGAGCTTCGTAGCACATTGAACGGGGGTGATGTGACCAGATTATTTTTGTAGTCTATGACTATGTCCCTTATCTCTTTCTCCACAATTTTACTTAGTGATAGGAAGATGCTGCCCCTTCGCATTCTCTGCTGGGGCAGCCAGGAACACAAAGTACAAGGAAAGGAAGCTTTTCAGCACAAAATTGCCAGAAGTTTGGAAAAATGAAGATACTTATCTGCTACTTCAGATAATTCTTTCAATTTTGATGCAAACAGTTAACAAATGCAACCTCAGGATCTTGTGTGAGTCTTTCGCAGAGCTCCCCAAAGGATGTGTAATCAGTCTGTTACAAAAGAGTTGGATAAATAGGGATAAACGATCTGATCCCTGAATTCATACCTCATGTGCACTGGGCTGTGTTCAGCCTTCAGAGTGAAACCTGTCAGCCAGCCTGACAGTCAGGTATCAACACACCCATGTCAGCTGGGAGACATCTCGCAGGCAAGTAGGGCTGTATTACAGTCCAGCAGCTACAGACCTGATGAAAGAAAAGGGGAAAAGGGAATGGGAAAGGGGAAAAGGGAAAGAGCAAGAGGCAAAAAGGGAAAGGGGAAAGGAGTAGTAATGGAAAAGTGATTTATTTTTAAATGATAATTGCTCATGTATAACTTCGGTAGGGGAAAAAGGAAAATTGCACTATGAACTTTAGAAAGAAACAGTGGTGCTTAGAAAGTACAGGTTTATATTTTCTCTAATGAAGTGAACGTCTGTTTATAAAAAGAGATATTATTTTGACCTGTACACATTCATTTCTACCATATAGTTTCCTAGCAGCTATTAACAGAGCAAGTGAAACCTAAATGAATATTAAATAAACTACAAGGGAAAAAAAATGATAGAGCACTGATCCTATGGTTCATTAAAGGGCTTTGTTAAATGGGAACAGACTTTGAGGACATTAGGTATTTCTTGTTCAAGAAACAGCTCTGGGGGTTTTATATCAATGTAATTATTTTTCTACAAACTGAGGTATTTTTTGCAAGCACTTTCCTGTACAGTGTTTCTTTTCTTTCTGCTTATACTCAAAAGGAAATGAAGACCCATAAGACATGTCTGTATGGTCTTTCTGCATTTGCCATCATATTTCAATACATGTGTGCTATTATAGAGGCAAAATACTTTGTACACAAGGGAATAATACATTGAATGGTAAACACTCCTTTCTGTGCTGGTGTTTATTTCTAAGCTTTGGGTTCCTTGTTTCACCATCCCACACAAAAGGAATAAGGGAGGATAATAATGTTGTTTATATGGAGACATACCCCAAACCCACATTGGGGTCTGTGGACCAGCGACCATCTTGGAGAATGGCCCCAGCCATCCACTTGTGTCCTGCCAGCTGGACAGACTGATGCTTCACGATTTATTCTACAAGGGGAGTGATCTGAGGTACAAAACGTACACAAGCGTATCTCAGAGGTGCCCTGTGCAGGTGGTGAGTGGCTGGTGCTGCCATCCATGCACCAGGGACATCCCTTTCCATGCGACAATAAGGGAGCCAAATGTTTTTGAAGGATGAGCTGGGATGCTGGACCTGGCCCACACTGCTGGCAGTGCTATTTACAGAAATCTGCAAAAACAATCAACTTTTCTAAGCTTGGGGAAAAAAAAAAAAGAAGTATCAAATCTACAAGAAAATTCAGGTAGAAGAAATTTGGGTTGAGAGAAAGCAGATGTGGGGACCAAATGTGGAGGGCAACCAAGTGACAAACTACAGCAGAATCTTACATTGCTTCTTTAAGGACTTGGGGGTGTTGGTCGATGAGAAAATGAACATGAGCTGGCAGTGTGCGCCTGCAGCCCAGAAAGCCAACTGTATCCTGGGCTGCACCAAAAGGAGCGTGACCAGCAGGTTGAAGGAGGTGATCCTGCCCCTTTACTCTGCTCTCTTGAGACATCACCTGGAGTATTGTGTGCAGTTCTGGTGTCCTCAACATAAAAAGGACATGGAACTGTTGGAACAAGTCCAGAGAAGGGCCACGAGGATGATCAGGGGACTGGAGCACCTCCTGTATGAAGACAGGCTGAGAAAGTTGGGGCTGTTCAGCCTGGAGAAGGAAGGCTGCATGGAGACCTCATAGCAGCCTTCCAGTATCTGAAGGGGGCCTATAGGGATGCTGGGGAGGGACTCTTCGTTAGGGACTGTAGTGATAGGACAAGGGGTAATAGGTTAAAACTTAAACAGGGGAAGTTTAGATTGGATATAAGGAGGAAATTCTTTCCTTTTAGGGTGGTGAGGCACTGGAATGGGTTGCCCAGGGAAGTTGTGAATGCTCCATCCCTGGCAGTGTTCAAGGCCAGGTTGGACGAAGCCTTGGGTGACATGGTTTAGTGTGAGGTGTCCCTGCCCATGGCAGGGGCGTTGGAACTAGATGATCTTAAGGTCCTTTCCAACCCTAACTATTCTATGATTCTTCCCTAGATGCTGCAGGTGAGAGTGAAGAAGCTGCATTTTTATGTCCTCCCTTGTATGTTCCTCATGCTCTGCCTCAGAAAAGGCAGCAGATCTCTTATTGCTGGCAGCTCCAGCCTTTTTCAGCTTCCGTGTTTTCAATCCAAAAGGAGAAAGGATACCTTTCTCGTGCTGTCTGAAACAGTCAGATGCAGAAAACAGAACAGGTGGTATTTGAAAAGCTTGATTTCTTAGTTTAAACATCTTAAAGGCATCTTTCTTTTCTATCATTTATCTTTAACAAATGATTACAAAGATTTAAAATGTGGGCTGCTGTGGAATTAAGCCAACAGGGAGTCTGAATCATACTTAACCTTCTGGCGCTGTATAATGAAAGGGTCATTTTAATACTTTTGATGCTTTGATCCAGTTATTCCATGAAAATTACAATGCTCTTCTTCAGCCTCATTGCACAGCCTAGCAGGAATAATTGGTCCAGAGACTGAGGTGATTGATTCATCTCTTCAATGTTCTCTTCTGCCTCAACAATGGGCATTATTTCCTCTATGGAAAAATAAAATGCATTTTGTTGAAGACTGTTGGAAACACAAGGGTCTAGTCTTATATCAGCACAGTTGGTAGGAAACCTTCTTCACCTTCATAGCCATGCTTTGAAACATGGGGAGAGGCAAAAAAGACCAAAGAGGGCAGTCTGGGCTTGAAAGACAATTTTCCATTGAGGCACTTCCAGACATGGACTAGTGAGTCTTTCCAACACGACTCCTCTTCCCAAACAGATGATTGAGGGCTAACTTGGAGAAAGCATTTCTGCTGGGGGAACAGCATTGAGGTGAGGCAGAAATTCCACTCAACCCAGGAGTCATTACCAGTTGAAGCAACTCAGCCCATGTGGTAAGTTCTCCCACCACTTGAGCTCTTCAAATGAAGTCTTTTTAAGAAATACCCTTGAGTTCATCCAGCAGCCACCAACCTTAGCTGATGGTCATTTAGTGGGAGGGGATGAGTCCCCTTTGAGGAACAAATTCCTGGCAGCAGCTCTCCAGCTTGCATCATGCAGGAGGAAGGAGCCAATGGCCAAAACTGGTGCTTGTCAGTCTCACTCCAGTATTTTCCAAGTATTTTTGCCTGTGCTGGAGTAATCCAGGCAATCAGTGTTGTAGCTTTCCAGAAGGAGGCTTAGTTGACAAGTTTCTGACCTCTCTTTGCAATAGTGAGATGAAGGATGTTGAGAAGCTATTTTTGGCCTTCATGGAAAAGCCTGAGTTTCCACTTCAAAGTTGGTTTAATTTCTCAGCTATTATATATTACCAAATATAAGGCACAGATTTTGAAAAAGCAAAATGAGAAGAGAATAGTGTTTTGACCTAATCCATACACTTTTTGTACTTTATTTCATGGAGTTTTTTGTTTGCTTGTTCCAATTAAAAAAGACCAACACACAAACCTGTGAAATTTTCGGTTAAATGAGTTCTGCCTCCTCTAGCTATAACTCTTACTTCCAAAGTGTTTAGAGACGTGATGTGTTGACTGTTCATACTGGTACCTTTTTAAGCCAAGGGAAGGTAGAAATACATTTCTCCATTATGAAGCTGATTCAGGTCCTTCAAGGCAGCAGCTGGATATGAAAAGCAGAGGCTGAGGCCATGCACATCAATCCATTTCCACCAGGAAAACCTCGATTCTGCTGGGAGCATAAGAGCCTAAATGGTTTCCACGTTGCATCTACACACAGGTTTAGGTGCATGCTTGGATTTAATGCTCCTGCTCAATCTGAGCCATCGGCAGCGATATCAAGCTGCAGTTACTTAAGCATTTGTCAGTAGTCAGTGTCTCCATCTCTGAGAAGACAGTGTGAGAAGAGCCAAAATTTTGGAGTAATCTCTGAATACAAACCCCTTTGTATGCCGGGCTGAGGGTGCAAGGGGAGGCAGGGCTCTGTGTATTTTCCCCTTTAATATTATTGCTCTGCTTCATTTATATGCTTAGAATTTCTTCATCTGCAGAATTTCTTAATCTGCAGCCACGCTTCAGATGAGTAATTAAATCAATCAGGTCTTTGCTATATTGCCCTTTACTAATCCATCCTGGCCGCCTTGGTGACCTTCCACTTTGAAGCTATTCACTGCTCACCGCCTGCCTTCGTCCACCTCCACGCAGAAAGGAGTATTTGCTGTGAAATGCTTTAATTGCTCAAGGTACCAGGGATGGCTCCCTGGAGAATGAGTGGCAAGAACAAACGTGTTCAGGTTAGCCACCGGCAAACACAAGTGGGGGCTTATTTGCTCCCGTGCCTCTCTATACACACAAACACACACACACACCCCGGCCCTAGCAGGCATGAGCACAGCTGCCTGCAGCAAAGGATAAGAGCAGGTACCAGATGCTGCCAGGGGCTGGAGCTCTGGTCTCACGCATGGCTTGTGTTCCCTGGATGAGGTTGTTTCAACTTCAGGTCTGAGGTTTTAACAGCCCTTTGGAGCAGGGGCCAGATTTGTGGTGCTGGGGAGCACACCACTGTGCACTCGCCCCTGAGGCTGGTGCCTTACCGCAGCTTAGCTAGAAGAAACACGTATCCACCAGTGGCAACCGAGCCCCGCTTGAGAGAAGACAGCTACAGATAAAACATACCCACATTTAGCTGAACCAGCAAATAACTGAGCTCTGAAATAATAAACCACATATGGCTCAGGCCAAGCTGATGAAAGGAGGTGTCGTTCAGCCACGGAGGTTTGCTTCATGCAGGGAATAACATGATGAGGCTGAGCCTTGCCTCGCCAGAGCAGGAGCCAGTGGCCTTTCTCCTCATCTGTGCTGGAGCTCAGCTGCTGAAAGACTTGTCTGTCTTCCTTTCTCCTTCACTGCTCTCTTCCCCGGGGGGGTACCTGAGCATATCAGGTCTGTTCAAATATCTCAGGGAACAATCCACCAGGATCAGCAGCAGATAATCTAAGGAAACCTCAGACAAGGGCAATAGATTGCTCTGCTGCCTCTATCTTGAGTTGCTGTCCCTATCCAAGTGGGGCAAACAGAGAGATGATGTCCTTTTTGGGAGTTATTCCTGGATTCTGCTGACTGAACTACACAAAGTGGGGTGTCTTCAAGTCCTTCCACCAGCTCTTTAACATCCACAGCTTCACTGTATGTGAAACACAGCGGGTGTGCCTTGAGCTGGTGTGTAGCTCACCTGGAATAACCCTGGAATGCTGCATGCCTGCCCTGGGCGAAGCTGCCTTCTTCAGGTGCCTGAGATAATCTCATAATATCCTCCTCTTCATCAGCCTTCCTCCACATTGTGCAGGTGTTGTGTGAAGCTTTCCAGGTATGACTTGCTTTCAGATTTCATTAGTTTTTCCCATTTGATGGTTCCTAATGGCCTGGGTATTTCAAGAGCCTAAACGTACAGAAGCATTTGACTTGGAAGTATTGAAAGCTTTAGACAGAAGGTAGAGCCTGGGCTGCTTGCCTTGGCCAAAGAACTGGTATCTCCAGCAGGTAAAAATAGCACAAATGTAAAACCTGACAACATTCATGGCCAGAAGAGAAACCATTTATAGCATATTGGGGACCTCAGGCACAGTATTCTGAATTTTCCTTTCCATAGCTACCTAAGTTCTGCCTGATTTGAGTGCCATAACCACTGTCAGTCTGGTTTTGTCAGGTATCTCACTCCCCTATTTATCTGCAGGTTTCAAGCTTATTAAACACTAAGAAAAAGGCTCTTTTCTTTTCCCTCAATGAGAAAATAC